TCACAGTGGTGTAAAAATTGCATCGAACGGGAACAAAAAATGGCCTCATCGGAGACAAAAATCGAAGGAAGCCGCGGCGGCGGCGCTAGACTTCGGCGGTGTTTTTCGGCCGATTGGCCAGTGGTTTGGCTCCGATTTGGCCATAGGCAGATTCAGCTTCGAAAATCGAGCCAATGGGAGAAAATTTACCTCGTTTGGTAGTCGGAAAACCCTCCGGTGCAGTGGCGATGGCCGGCTCCTCCGGCGAGAATACTGGCGGCTAGGGTTTGGGGTCGGGTGTGGGTGAGGTTATTTATAACCTTCCCCTTTTAATTTCAACCGTCCATCACGATTTAATCTGGACTGTTCGATCACGATTAAAATGAAAATAAATCTGGACCGTCCATTGCAATGCGATCTGGACCGTCCGTGCGTGATTCAATCTGGGCTGTCCACACGCGTGAGATCTGGGCCGTCCGTGCGCGTGAGATATGGGTCGTCCGCATGCGTGAGATCTGGACCGTTCGATCACATGCACGCGGATCACTCACGTGGCTCTGTCCCGCGTCAATTTCCTTGCCACGCGGCGTGTTCTGGTTGGCCGGGGTTGCTGACTGGGCTGCTGACGTGGCACAACTTTCTTAAATTACGTTTTGACCCCCAGTTTCTGATTTTCTTTTTAAAACACCCCTAGAATCCAAATTTTCACCTCTTTTTTCCAAAATCAATTTCAATTAAATCCCAAAAATAATTTTACCCAATTTTATCATTATTATTATTTTTATTTTTATTAAATTAAATTAAAACCTTATAAATTAAATATTGAAAAATTAAACTAAAATTCTAATATAAATTAAAATAAATTAAAAAATAAAAATAATAAATTTGGGTATTACAACCAAGGCATTGATCAGACTATTTGCGTATCAAAATCAAGTATAATTTTAACAGTCCCTTCCTTCTAGGTGTATTTCTTACTTTAGCCATATGAGAAGAGTTATTGATCCATTTTTAGTATGAAAATATATATAAAGTTTGTTATAACTATGGATTTATTTTTCATACTTCTCTATCATGTGTTATTACCAAAAATGACATAGCTCTTTCCCTCATGGGAAAATTTCTTAAGCCTTTTGGCCCATGGCTTAAAATTGATGCCCATTCTCCCAATTCTTAACATGTTTGGGTCGAAGGAGCAGTCCTACTATAAACTTTTCTTACTTCATCCTATTCATAGCTGTTCCATGTCGTCTTGACTCCATGTTCACAACTCAACCCTATTGTTATACCTGCCCACTCCAGCTATCCCTCCTTCTCAAATTCTATGAGCATTACGTCATTAATAATATCCTGTATCATGTGAACCTTCTTTTCTTATAATCGACTAAACGATTGAAGAAACAATGAAAGAGGGCCACAAAACAATGTCAATTGGTGATTAGGTATAAGGCATTTAAACAATACTGTTTAAGCTGCAAAAAAAGAGCTAGATCTTCTCAGGATCGGGTTTTGTTTCTTTTGGTTAAAAAGAAGAAAAATGAGAAATGGAATGAAGAGGAATGGGCTTGGACTAGGTTCATTTTAAAAGCCTTAAGCGATTTACATGGGTTGAGTTTAAATCAATGAAAAGAGTGAGCCCTCATTCTTATTTCCGTTTGTTTCTTTGTTCATTTTTTTTCCGTTTTTCTCTATTTTTCATCTTTTATTTAATTTTTACTTTTTTTATTCTCTCTCTCTCTTATCATAATGATAAAAAACTAATAATAAAAATAACAATAATAACAATAGCAATAATAATGATAAGTAAACTAACCATTTTTATGTTTGACCATTCATTGTTCATTTAATTTTTATTGCTACTATCCTTATTATTAGTTATAAGCTAGATAAGATTGTAGTATGATAACAATCTTACTTCTAATCACTCCTAGAATCTCTCTTTCTCTCTCTATTTATTTACGAGCTGTTTTTCCATAATTAGCCTCCTAGATTCTCTCTCTTTTCACTAGTATATACCCATTACCAAAGCCCACTAGCCTTTACTACCCTTTTGGTCCAACCCGTTGTAGAACCTCATCTTTAGTTGCATGTATCTTAAAATGACATGCCTTCGTAATCCTAGCTCTCTTTAAAAACAAGCCCAATTAAACACCCAACAAGTTTTTCTCCTACTTTATTAGGCTTTTTATACTTTTCTTCCATCGATCATTACCATTGGGCCTTCCACTTATAACAAAAGGCCCCCCATTACTTCAAAAATCACAACTCGACCTCCGTTATTATCTACTACTACTATATCATTACCTTTCATGTGTTTAATCGCAAGACTTCGATAGTGAGTCAATTATCTCTTTCCACTAAATGAAACTACTAGCGGTCAATTGTTGAGGTAGTCTAGGCTAAGCCTTGTAGTGCGCTTACTCAAAGGCCTTGTACATACCTTTAAACCCTTTATATTGGTCCAAGGTCTAAGTCAACTCAGAAGATAAATAAATTGAGTTTATAAAATTATATAGTATCTAGACGTACTTTTTAAGTTTTCCTTCAAGTGTTATTCGGCCTAAGATGAAAGGGTATCCTTGTATGAACACCTTTACCTATTAATTTATGCAATGTGCTCTAAATCAATACTATAATAGTGTGATAAATAAATTTACTTTATGATTGTGTGTGACTTGAGTATATATATATATATATATGTATATATATATATATATATCAAGTGAGATAAGTAGCAAAAATTCTTTTATAAAGCTTGGAATAGAGCACTTGTGGTTACGTTATTTTTCTCGAGTCAATCACATGAGTTTTAACTCTTTTCTTTAAAGTATTAAAAATACTAGTTGTTAATAGTGTGTAGCTCACTACTCACTCATATTTCTTCGAACATTAGCTATTTGTTTATCAAAGTGTCAAACTCATATTTTTTTTAACACTATTTATTTGTTTGTCAAGGCATCAAACTAATTTTTCACTCGTATTCCCTTAAATGCTACTCAGTCTATTTACAAGCTCACTTTTTACTCGTGCTCTTTTAAACATTAAAATTCTTAAGGTTTCTTTAAACCTATTCTTACAATGCCCTAAAGAGTATAAATAAAAATTTTACAAATTTTCTCTCTCAAAAGAGTAGATTTACAAATAATGAGTACACTTAAGAACTCAAAGTAGATAAAAAGAATAAGAATTGTTTCTCTTGTTTCCATAATCAATTTTTTTCTTCTTTTTTTATATATAAAATCCGAATAAAAAATTATTTAAATGTATGAAAGTTAAAAAGATAGTCATTGGGTCCCCAATATATCTGCCCCTGCAGATTGGATGCTGCTAGAGATGTGTATGTCTTGTTTGTACTCGGTGTCATCGTGATACTACTAGTAAACGTTTATTGATCTTCAAAGTAAAATTAGTGATAATAATATAATTTTTATTCATGCTGCCTTATCATAAATTAGTTTTAAAAAAAAAAAAAAAAAAATTATTTTCTATTAACCGCAACTACAAAAAAATATCTTTAATTACTTCGCCCAAACTGCTGGAACTTTAACGGTAACTACGGAACCTTAATTACACACTCAACTTTCATGACTTACCAATTTACCACTTTGCCCTCTCTGCCTATCTTCTCATCATCTCCTCCACAGATCCCTGTCACTTGAGAATGGTGGCAAGTTCTAATCCTTAATTGCTTCTCTCTCTTTTTCCTTTTTCTCCAATTTCACCCCTCTCAGCTCTTGATCCACCTTCTCCAAATATCTCCACTTCATACTGCAAAACAATGCCGGGTCTTGTATCGGTCAAAACCCCACCAGACGCGCCGCCGCTACGTATCTCTGTCCCTGACACACAGACCCAACGGCCCGAACCCGCTAACCCGCCTAGGACTCCCTCTCCACTTCCAAACAAGAAACCGCCTTCCCCCTCCCCATCTCGATCCAAGGCTTCCCCAGCCCGACCAGCTAAGAAGTCTCCGCATCACGATTCCCCCACGATTCCTGATGATCCCTCCCTCGATAACCCCGATCTTGGCCCATTCCTCCTCAAGCTCGCCCGAGACGCCGTTGCTTCCGGCGAAGGGCCCACTAAGGCTCTTGACTACGCCCTCCGCGCCTCAAAGTCCTTCGAGCGCTGCGCCGTCGTCGACGGCGAGCCTAGTCTCGATCTTGCTATGAGCCTGCACGTGCTCGCCGCCATCTACTGCAGCCTTGGGCGCTTCGAGGAGGCTATACCCGCGCTAGAACGGGCTATCCGAGTCCCAGATGTCTCTCGGGGCCCCGATCACGCGCTGGCGGCGTTCTCCGGGCACATGCAGCTGGGAGACACGCACTCCATGCTGGGGCAGATCGATCGGTCTATTGCGTGCTATGAGGAAGGACTCAGGATTCAGATCCAGGCTCTGGGAGAGACAGATGCCAGAGTTGGAGAAACTTGCAGGTTTTGCTGATTACTTTCTTTTGTTTAGGTGTATGGCGGGGTTAACTACTCAAGTTACAGGGATTTCGATTTGCGTGTTTGCTTTAACATGTCAACTAAGTAGATTTGGCCTATGTTAATTACGATTCAAATTAAGATTTCACGGAAATTAGGCTTAAAATAAGATTTTAAATTTTAGGCCAAAAATTGAATAAAATTGATATTAGTATCAACTCCATTTTCTGATGTTATGGTGATATAGGAGAAATGGGTTTACTGTGTAAATTTTTAAGAAAGATATACGGTGACTAATTATACGGTTAGATTCTATTATAATGAAATCTAACGGTCAGTATAGTATAGATTAAAGGATTTGTTGTTTTCAACTAGAGATAGGTCCAAATTTGTTCATGCTGTTTGGAAAAAAAAAAACCAGTAATCTCATAGAAGAGATCCTTTTCCATTATAGGGCGGGGTGGGACAAAAAGCACTCTCCTTGTAGTTTTTGTCAATGTGCAATGCGAAATTTAGATTTTTTCTTCCACAAACATTATTATAATATACGTGCATGATCTCTGTTTTATTTAGTTGAAGATGTTTCTCACAAAAAAATTTTCTAACATTGTTATCAGTTATATGTAATTTTCATATGACGGATTGTAAATGTGTCTTGCTTGCTAATATTTCTGACTAACTGCCACTTAATTTTATCTTATAAAGCAAATTATAACTATAACTGTTGTCCCACTTGGGAGATGTGCACAAAATATACACCTGCTAGTTATGAATGCATCGGTAACTTTACATACTGTGTGCTGTTATCCCTATTACCTTGTATTATTGCAGTTCACCAGCCTTATCCATCTCCACCAGAGTTTTTGCGTACTAGCTTCTAAATCTAAAATGTTTTAGAAACTGCTTGGGAAGGAAGATCGTGTTTCCATCTTATGTTAACATTTTCCAAAAATAGATTCATGCAGTTACGGATCAATACTAGAACTATAATACAAAACTGGAATTTCCATAAAAAAATTGCTGGAAAAGTTGATTTGCAGGTTCCTAAATTACTTTAAATGCTGTATATATATATATATATTATATCAGTCTCCAACTTAAAGTCAAAATAAAAGTTTTTCACATGAATGCATAATCACAATCTAGCTTTCGTAACATCCACATAATAAAATGGTGAATTTATTTGAAGGATTGACATTGAAAATGTCAGGTATTTGGCTGAGGCTCATGTTCAAGCAATGCAGTTTGATAAAGCAGAAGAATTATGCAAGAAAACTCTTGAAATTCATCGTGCTCACAGTGAACCAGCATCTCTTGAAGAGGCTGCTGATAGGCGGTTAATGGCCCTAGTATGTGAGGCAAAGGGAGATTACGAATCAGCTCTTGAGCACCTTGTCCTTGCCAGCATGGCGATGATAGCAAATGGGCAGGACAATGAGGTTGCTGCTATTGATGTCAGCATTGGCAACATTTACATGTCTCTTTGTCGCTTTGATGAGGCGGTTTTCTCCTACCAGAAGGCGCTCACTGTATTTAAATCATCAAAGGGTGACAACCACCCATCAGTTGCCTCTGTCTTTGTACGCCTTGCTGACCTGTACCACAGGACTGGAAAGCTTAGGGAATCGAAATCCTACTGTGAAAATGCCTTGAGAATATATGCTAAACCTGTTCCTGGAACCACAGTGGAAGAGATTGCTGGCGGATTAACGGAAATTTCTGCCATTTATGAGTCTGTAGATGAGCCTGAGGAAGCCCTCAAGCTCTTGCAGAAGGCAATGAAGTTGTTGGAAGACAAACCAGGACAGCAAAGCACAATTGCGGGAATTGAAGCACGGATGGGAGTGATGTTTTACATGCTTGGAAGGTATGAAGAGTCAAGGAACTCTTTTGAGAGTTCTGTAGCAAAACTTAGAGCAAGTGGAGAGAGGAAATCATCTTTCTTTGGGGTTGTTTTGAACCAAATGGGTCTGGCTTGTGTACAACTGTTTAAAATTGATGAGGCAGCTGAATTGTTTGAAGAAGCAAGAGGAATACTGGAACAAGAGTGTGGCCCATGTCATCAAGATACACTCGGAGTGTACAGCAATCTAGCAGCAACTTATGATGCTATGGGCAGGTAACTATCACTTTGAACACATTTTTTTGCATTCTTTCTTGAGCTTTTAACTTACAATTTTGCTTATATTCCAAATATGCTTCATTTGGCTCTAAACTAGCATCTACCCATCTATGCTCAACTCTCTGCAGTGGGTGATCAACAACTTCATATACTGTAATTTATTTGATGTCTCTATCTCATTCTGCTTTGTTTGTGGGTTTTCTTTTTTACTTGTGAGAATGTTGGTGAGTAGTTCTGGGAGTCCACACCCTATATAGTTATCATGTCATTGTATATTGATCTGTCATGCATGTGGCAGATATGAAATGCCCAGCTCCATTAATATTAATGGACAGGAGTAGCATTTAAATTTTTTCATGGAGCAGCATCCAAGTGGTGGAGCTGATTATCCAGTTGACGTCATTATTAAATGTACTGTAATAGCAGTTTCACATTTCTATCTAGCAGCATGGAAAAGGGAACTATCTTGACATGATTAGTTGTTACCTAATTATCTCATCGATTGGCTTCTCCCTTTTGTAAACTATGAGGCCCAAGCAGTTTTACTGGTTTAAGCTATTGGCCTAAAACCTTAAGTTGTTGGTAATGAGTAACTTAAATTTTTGTATAGGGTTCATCAATCATTTCTCTTTTTGGTTTGGAAACGGGTAGCCCACTCCTTTCTATCCTAGACCAGTGATGTTCAGATATGTTATCATTTAATCACAAATTGCAACCAAAGATTACACTTAGTCCAAGATTATACCAGCATGGAGTCATCAAACTGTCAAATGTTCTGATATCATTTATAACATTTTGACCATGGTTTAAGAACTTCTTGGGTCCAAATTATGGACTTCAAAAACTTAAACCCATATCGTTTGCAGTAAGTGACTTGAGTCTTTAAACATAGTTACAAATTATATACTTTTCATTATGGGATAGAGGTAGTTCTCTACTGTAATATCAGTATCCCACAGCAGTTGAAAATATCATAGGTGATAGTTTAAACAGTTCAAATCACTCTAGTGACAAGTTAGAATATGAGCCTTTGAAGACTAATTGTTTAGGCTCAAAAAGTCTTTTAATAGTGTTTGGGCCTATGATTTTGTAAATGATATATGTATCGATTTGGCGGCTCGGACTTGATCATTGTTAGATTGTCTATGCCATGTTGACATTTTATGCAACGATCGAGCTCTATATAAGAGTTCTGAACTCTGAACCCTTGTGGAGTGACCTTTCCGTCATTGTGATCAGATATTGCAAGCTTCATGCTTCTACTGTTGCTTACTATAGACCATGAAAGTAAGAAAGTTCGAAATGAATGCAATAGTTTGTTGAGGAAATTTTCTCTCCAAGTAGGTTTATTTTTTACTTCCATATTCTATCATTTCCCACTGTGATCAAGAGTCTTATGACAGAGTCACGGATTAATTTAGTCTCACTGGAGAAATTTAATTATTGTATAATCCCTGAACTCACAATTTTTTGGCCAAGGCATGATTTTGTTTCAATCTACATTAGTGTTCATCCATTGAGTGCATCCTAGATGCCCCTTCAACCATATAGCTCTATTATTGCTTAAAAGCTGATTGCAGGTTGCAAGTCTGACTTGAATTGAAACATATTGCAATATTTACAGAGTAGATGATGCAATTGAGATATTGGAGTATGTTCTAAAATTGAGAGAAGAACAGCTTGGAATTGCCAATCCAGATTTTGAAGATGAAAAGAGTAGACTGGGTGAGCTCCTGAAAGAAGCAGGCAGGTCTAGGAACAGGAAAGCAAAATCACTAGAAAGTCTCATAGATCCAAATTCAAGGAGAACAAAGAAGGAGGGGACAAAAAGATGGCCTGGCTTGGGTTTTAGGCTTTGAAGCTACAATCACGAGCATCATCTTTTCGCTTCTTTATTTTCTTCACTCAGCACAACACATTCTGTAACATAGAAATATCATGTATAGTATTGTAATTTGGTATTATTTTCTCTTCTTTTTTTTTTTTTTCGTTTTTTTTCCTTTTTTTCTGAATTGGAAGTGCCCTCAATTTGTTTTTTCTTTCTATTAATTGTTTTATTGAATGTATGTGTTCGGCCTTTAAAGTTGTCCCCAATGATAAGAACTTTCAGTTTATGTTCAAAGAAAAGAACTTTCATTTGAGTTAATAAATTTCAGAAGGATGGGATGTTTTGATTTCTAGTTTGATCTTTGCTGGAGTGAATGTGATATGTAAACTTTTGTTATTAGCCTGCTTCTGGGTGCTGACTTCAAACCCATCTTGTCTTTTTTTCTGCAAATTGAAGAAATCTCTTGTAAGGTTTGGCACCGTAGGAAAGACAGCGTGCGGCCATCTTCTTCCGTGCGGATGCTTGCGGGCTTGCTTCTCTCGTGTGTCCGGACCTTGCATTCGAGTTCACATAGTTGGTGTTGTAAACTTGTATGAGAAGGTTAGATTATATGGTCTAATCATTTAGGAAAGCGCTTCTAGTAGTTACAGTGAATCTACATGGAAAGAGATTTTTTGATTAGTTGGTATTCCTTCCTTTCTTTTTCTTTAAACAAAAAGGGATTCTTGCAGCCTTTTTGAGAAAAAGTTGCCGCATTACCTTGAGTATAGGATATAAAAGTTAAAAATAAGTACAAAAACACATGATATTAGAGAATAATTTGAAAGACAAGCACACGAAACAATTCAAATCTAATGCAAGATAAACTGTTACTTTGTGGAGAACTATTAAGATTAGTGTAACTAAATAATAAAAAAATTTAGATTCAATTGTTATCAGTTGCACGCAATAAATATATATATTTAGTGAAAATCAAGTTTCGAGTATTGTGATTTCTATCACAATTTTAATTTTTCTGAGAATTTTATCCCGTTGAAGCATACGTATTAAATTAAAGAAGAATTTAACTAAGAGAACAACTCATGATGACAAAATAAAAATATGCCTTAATTATTCAATAATAACGTCTTACAGTTAGAATAAAATTTTTACATAATGATATTCACCAAATATGATATTGGCTTTAAAAAATATCAATAGCATCTCATATTCACCAAATTAAGATTGTTAGCTACAAATCAGATTTATCATCATTCTCATAATCTATCTATTATTCTATCTCACAACTTAAAATAAGTCTTAATTAAAATTAACAATCTAACATAAGCTCGTTGAATCCTGAAACCCAACTTAAGCTAATATTTTAGATTGTTAAAAAAGTGAAATACAAGCCCAATTTTTTCTTGGAATACTTGTACAATTTTCAGATAGTTTTCTCAAACATTAATAGCTTTGAGAACTAGGTTACCTCAAACTCTTAAAAATTGTATACAAGAGAAGATATTAAATAGTTTAGAACAGTTAATATTACTACAACTGATTACTGAAAATAATTGGATTCATACTATTATCTATTATTAGTAGTTGATTATGTCACGTTCTATTAGTTTAAGCTATTGAGAGAATTGATTCGATCAATTATTTAATATGGTATTAGAATCAAAGCTCAATGTATGATTTTCGTTTTTTGTTTGGTGTGCTTATGCGTAAAGAAATATATTAAATATGAAATAATTAATCGAACTAATTCTTTTCAAATCAAATTTTTCGGAAAATTGATTTAATTAATTATTTAAGATTTGGAAGATAGTAAATATGAGATTTAAAATATATATATATATATATATAGAAAGGAAAATTAAAAAAGAAACTACTCTTGGTGGATAATAATTCTTTCTCTCAAATGCTTTTTCCTTCTTTATCTTTATCCTTCATGCTTTCATTTGCTTTCTCTTTTTCTTCCCTTTATGATTAATCTTTTGGTTTACTGGAGCTACTAAGATGCAATTTAAGTTATATTAAAATGCCCATAAAAATCTTAGGTAATTAAGAGTTCTTTTCATGAATAATGATAATAAAAATTATTTTTTAATAAAAACAAATTGAGGATGTTAATTACCTTAAAAAGCAATTCGTCACTAACAATGAAATCATATTTCCTTCATTACATTACGCTACACGATTAATTACATTATATTTTGTTTCATCTTATTAAATACAATTAAAATATAAATAATCATCCAATGCAAATCTTAATAGTTCAAATGCACATCTCAAATTATGCTTATACTCTTAAAGTCAACATCCATGAGAATGGTGCTGCTATGTATCCTTAATTTATGCTCTAATTTTTTTTTTCAAAGTGGTTGATTTCTTTGGTGATTCTAGAGTTCAGATGGCGTGTGAAAGAGTTATGCTGGTCTAGTAAACAGACATTGTGAAGGGATCTTCGCAACATAAGTGCATCTTCCGCATCATCCCTCGGTAGCATGTTTATAATTTGGTCTTCAACTCATGTTTGGATGCTCTTCTACTACCAGTTAATGACTGCTTGTATCCCTCATTGTCTGGTGGCATCTTATCTCATCCATAACTTGATTGATGTTCTAGAATGGGTCAATGGTTCAAGTTCACTTGAATTAGTTTTGTGATGGTTTATCTTGTCAAGTTTTATCATTTAATCTTGTGTTTTTCTTTCTTTTTTTTTTTAACAACCTTGAGTATATTGTTTGGTTGCAATACTTGAATTTACAATTTATATTTGTTGAACCACGATAGCATAGTTTGTTCACAAAATTTAAAGATATTCTTTATATTTGAGAAAAAAATAGCCGTATAATTATATTAAATCAAACTAGAATGGGATGGTATTAGTCTCGAACTAATTCAGGCATAATCTTTGGTGCAGCCTTGGCCCGAGTTTATTATAAAAATAGATCTCAATTAAGATGCAATCCCAAGAGAAAATTATTTCTAGAAGAATCTTGGAACATATCAATTTCAGAATTATCTTTGTTGACCCCAACTTGAGCAATTTACCAAGTTAATTAATCTTAGGCTATAACTTCATTCCCAAAGTTAAAATATATCAAGCATGTTGCTAGTTCCAACAATGGCTTGAGTTGAAGCTTGAGGGGGAAAACCCATCTAGTTGATGTCCCAAGGTTGATACTAGCTCAGGCATAATCATCCAACTCAAAACTAAGTCGTGTGTGATATCAGCATAAAAATCAATCATGGCATAATCCTAAATCCAACCTTAACTTGAGCATGGTCTTAAAACTAAACCTACCATAGTATAACATAAGATAGGAATAAATAAATATGCAATCCCAAGATTCACAATTAGCATGGGCACAAAATTAAATTTGAAACACGATTTCAAATGGTCGTATCATGTCTAGTTCGCTTAAATTAGTTTTTTGATGGTTATCTTATGAAACTTTAAAACCTAATCTTGTTTTTCCTTTCATCTTTGAGTTTAAAATTTGGGAGCAATATTGTATTTATGTTTTCATGTTATAGCGAACAACGGTCTTCTAGTTTGTCTATAAGAGTTTTTGAATTTAATGCATTTCTTTACATTCGAGAAAAGAATAGTTATATAACATAATCTTGGACTAAAAATTTGTAAATGATAACGCAATTTAATCAAATTTATCAATATTTATATTTCAAATAATTTTAAACGAAGTAAAAACATGTAAACCAAAATAAAACTACATCAACCTGACAAACCAGAAGACCTTTAGAAGGAAAATTTTGATGTGCTGAGAATGGCTTGTTTTGGCTCTTGAGAAGAAGACACCAAAGAAGAGGCTTATATTTGTTCTCTCATAAAGAAAACTTTCTGGAGACAAATGTGTTAAGGACGAGGATACGTAATTTTTTTATTGCTTTAAAGAGTTTATGTTGTCTCTTTTATAATCACCCATAGATATTATTTTAAATTTAGGTGAAAGATTTTTGTTTATAGTGATAACACCATATTTAGGATTTATTTAGAAAATCCAAAAGTAAAATAGCATTAACATGTTTCCACCACTTGTTAATTCTACTAACGATCATATTTAATTAAAATTTGACTGATGTAAAAATAAGATTAAATTAATTAAAATAATTAAATGTCTTAAATATATTTTAAACATGAGTTAAGATCAATTAAATAGTAATTTATATTATTTTATTATTTAATTAATCAATTAATTTTTTTATTAACTAATGAAATAATGAGTTTGAAGAACTTTTAAAGTTTTGTTGTATACAAGCATTATATGGTCTCAGTCTTGAACGAACTCAAGCACCTAGGCTTAGCTTAAGTATCTAGATGGATCTCAGCTAGGATGTATTCCTAAAATAAAAATGGTCATGGTAGGATCTTAGAATAGAACATATCTTAGACATATTATGTGATCCAAAATCTGTAGGAGCTAGGGTTGAGTATTAGCTACAACTTAATCCAATTCTTGTTGATTTTAGCTTTGGTATTATCCCAAGCTAATTATTCTAAGGCAACGACTTGATTTTCAATATTAAATTAGCTTTAGAATAGTCACAGTTCTAACAATAACTCAATTGAAATTTGAGAAGAAAAATTTATTTGTGTATAGTTCATAGTCTAAAACGAACTTAAGTAAAATCACAGAACTCAAATTAAAAGTACATATTATAACTGAAACTAATCAAAAAATAGTTCAAAGTCTGACTTTGACCTAAGTCTAGTCTTAAGAACTATATAAATAAAAAAAAATTGTGTGTAATCTAGCCCAAAGCTAATCCAAGTAATATCATTGAGTCCAAAAATAAATGTAAATATTATGATGAAAACTAATCAGGGTATAGTTCTAGATCCAATCTTGACCTCAGTTTTGTCTCAAGAATTGTATCAATGGAAACTTATTTGCACATAATTCCTAACTAAAGTTAACCCAACTTATATCAAACAGATGAATGTTAATTAGGCCACAATCCTGTATCCAACTTTGACCTAAAAAAAGACTAATATCAAGAACTATAATAAGAGAAACCTATTTGTGTATAGTTCCTACTCCAATGTTAATTTAAGTAAAATCATTAAACTCAAAACTGAATGCACATATTACAATTGAAACTAATTAAAATTAAACTTTGGGTCTAATTTTGATCTAACTTTAGTATCAAGAACTAAAATATTAGTTTAACCTTAACTTGAGCCTAGTTTCAATAATTATAATAGTCCTAATACAGTTCCATTAATAAAATCAATATACACACGGCTCCAATGCACAAAATTAACCTGAGTATAGC